AAATCATTAACTACTCATAATAAATTTCAAAAACAAATTTTATATAACTAACGTGTTTTATAAATTGTGTTTGTAAATTTTGTTACAATTATATTATCATAATTTTTAATTTTGTTTACTTTAATTTTTTTTTTATGTACTATATTTTTTTATTTTATAAAAGTATATTTATATATATACATATATTAACCAATAAAATTAATTTAAATTTTAACATAATTATTATTATGTACATATATTTATTAGATATACCCATATTATATGAACATTTTGTATATCAATATTAGTTGTTGTGCATGTACATAATATAGTATATAAAATAACTCGTTTTACTTTTTTTTTCTCTCGACTTATATACCTAAATAAAAAAAAAATATAATATAATTTGAAAAATGTATAAATAATTTTATTGTACATTTCCAATACTGGTACATTTTTTGTTTGGTATCAATTCACATTCGTTCATATTATTATTATTATTATTCTACTGTATAATTAATTAATTATGTCTTAATTTTAATATTAATTAAAAAAATTTACTAACAATTAATAATAATAATAATAATAAAATAAAATAATAAAAATTATAGTTTACACATATTAATTAAAATTTATTGATATTTGATTAGTTATAGTTATAAAAAAAAAATGCAAAGATGAAGAAAAATGGAAAAAAAAAATCATTTTATTTGCCTTAAGAAACAAAAAATAAATGAATGTAAAAAAAATACGTGAATAACACTTAACGTTAAAGTAAATAACTTTTAAGAAAAACTACATTAATAAAAATTTATAAATAATAAAAATAAATAAAATAAACAAAATTAATAAATGAGGAAAACAAATAAGAAAAAAGTTCTTTAATATAATGTGATTGTATAAATTTCATTTTAAATTAAACATATTATCTTATATTGAATACAAATAAAAATAAAAAATATAAATAAAAATTAAAAAAAAAACAAACACAATAAATTATTAAAATTAAGTTTAAAATAAAATAACAAAAATAAAAAAAAATTAAAAAAAAAAATTTGTAAATTTGACCAATAAAATTTTCAATTTTTTAATTTAGTTTTTTTCAAACTTTTTTAATATTAATAGAATATTTTTAAATAAAAAAATATATTATATTATATTTTAAAAAAACTATATTAATTAATAATAATTATTATTATTATATATTATTATATTATATACTCAATGTGTCACTTTACCGTAAATAATTTTCATTTATTATTTCATATTAATCTATGAAATAGTTTTTATTTTAAATTCATTTTTTTTTTCATTATCATTATTATATAAAATAATTGAATATAATTTTATTACTTACTATACTTATTATATAATTACCATTTTTGTGATTATTTATAATTTTATAATTATTGTCATTATTATTGAATTCTCCATTTAATTTTATTTTGAATTAACATTACTATATACATGTATATTTTTATATATAAAAACAATTTTTTTAATTGTAAGTTTTAATATTTTTTATGTCTATATATATATATATATATATATATATATATATATATATTTATATTTATGCATATATATATATACATATTATGTTTCTTTTTTGTGATACAAGTCTTTTTTGTTAGATTTAAGAAGTCCAAAAAAAAAAAAAAATAAAAAAATGGAAATATAAAAGAAAAATATTCATTAAATAAAAATAAATCATTGTGTATTACATTTAGTTTCGAAATATTTTGCATTTTACAATTTATTAAATATTTTAAAAGTTTATAAAAACTAAAGCAAAAAAAAAATAATAAAAAAGAACGTAAATGAAATAAAAATTTCTTCCGTTAAAAATTGAAAACAAAATTCTTTTATTTTTCAATTCCTTTATATTTTCCAAAAAATTATGTCAACAATTTTTGATTTGCAATTTACAAAAATTTAAATAAAGTTGGATTAAACAAATGATTTGCAAAGAAACCCTTCTCCTCTGAACAAATGAAAATACGAGTACATACTACTTTTAAAAATTTTTGTTCATATACCAAAATACATCAATTTATAGCTTACATTTGGGATGTGCACTTTCCTTTAAAAAAAAACTTTCGTTTTCGAAAATATAAGGCGAAAAAATTCAAGTTTTACATATTGATTTTTGTATACAAGTTTTAAATACAAACGCTATTAAAAATTTGGACAAAACGTATCTTAGATAACAGTTCATTTAAACGACCATATAATTATTTCCATGCTCACTAGAAGAAGCTAGCTACTATTTCTTTACATTTGCAGAATTTAAAGAATGCTTGTGATTTCGTTACAATAAGTAGTCAAAAATAGCATTTCTAGGACCTTGAAGGACCATATCTTTTAGGGAGATCTATTTGTGTATAAAACGTCTGCTTTCTATCTCACAAGGTGTAGAAGTTTTGTAAAGAGACACACGGACAGACGGACAAATAGACGTACGGACAGACAGAGCAAAACTACTTTTTCCAACTTTTTTTGGAAAAGTAATAAAAATGAAAAATGAAAAAAATTGAGATGAAGCTAATCATTTTCAGTTTTTTTTTATATATTTTTGTGAATCTCATTTTCTTTCACTTCTAATCCAAACGAAGATGAAAATTTTCTTCAAATATCTGGTTTGCAAGATAAAGTCTACATTTTTATAATGTAAAATGTTAATGTAAAATTCTCTCTTAATCATTTCATACTTATTAATACTAGCGACTTTTTAATTTGAAAAAATATCACATACTTATTAAAGCCATTAAATAATCTGTAAACTTGATTTACGTACCAAAAACAATAAAATCTTAAAAATATGCTTTTTACATACATCAATATGGGACTAATAATAAATTTCAATTTGTACTAAATAAAAAAATTTGATTAGTTAATTACATCTGGGTACATTAAAAAGAAAAATTACACCGTATATAATTTTCAGAAAATCATAATTGAGATTTTATGCTTGAATTGCATTTTATGGAGCAGAAATTATAACTGAAAAACAACTCACATATACACACACTCAATATTATGTCGTATACAAGCACCCAGTTTCCATATTTTTTATCCTTAAATTTTTTTATCCTTAAATTATTCATAGTTGTTTTAGACGTGCTGCCATGCATTTCAACTTCCATTTTATTTTATCTAGTCCAAATTTTTCCATAAAATTTTATCTTGAAAAATTTAAAAAATTAATGTACAATAATTTTCCGTTCTTTACCACACAATCGAATTTAATCAACTAAAAAAACGTTACTTACCGCTTCTAAAATGAAATCCTACATTCTCTTTGTTGCAAGATTAATTTGTGTTGTTATTTATTGCTGCATAGCTATAAAGCAACAAGAAACTGTAGCTTTTTTTTTGTTTTTGTTTTCTGCTCTAGAATAATTTTGAAATTTTTGCAAAATTCTTTGTAGCTCATATGTTCAAGTTGTGTTATAAAAATTATATGTTTATCCTGTTTAAATTATATTACTTAAATTATATGTTTTTGCTGCGAGTTATCTATCAGTTGTTATATAAATACGTATGTATTACAATCTTTAGAAACTAAATATGAATGTGATAAATTTTAATGGTTTTGTTTTATTTTATTAACTCATAAATTAAAAATCTACAATCCTATCAGATCAACCAGGTTTTTTTTAACTTATGCTTTTAACTTGTAATTTCATTAAAACCAAAACTGTTAAAAAAATAAGCTCTTCGCTGTAATATGTAATTGATGTTTTTGAAGGATTCTTCAATATCATTTGAAAATATTTTTCTGTTAAAGCTTTACCGTTTTTCATTTATATTGGAAATGAATAAATTTCCAATACATGAAAAATCTGATATTAAAAGCAACTTCAATTTTATGTATATATACATATTACATATGTATATGATTTACAAAGCTATAAAAGAATATTACAAGTAGAACTAATTTTGCAATAAAATCAGTTGTTTTACTAAAATGTAGGTCAATTCCAGTAATTAAAATAAATAAGTAGGTATAAAATTATCGTCAATAAAATCTCATTATTACATGCAATGTGTGTCTACTGTCTGCAGTAAGGAAACAATACAATTTTATACTACCGTCTCGAAGCTTTTAGTACTTCGCCATTGTAAAAAGCTTTTGGGACATTTTTACAAGATTTTTGTGTCCTATCTTAAAAACTATGTATGTATATATAATATGAGTATTTTACCATATTTTATAAAAAGGGTTTAAATACTAAATTAAAAAAAACTTAATTGTAATTAACACTTCCGGATTTGTGAACAAATTGTGAACAAACAATATGCTACTTTATTATTGTTTGCCTTTGAAAACTTTTATATGACATGCATAAAAAAAGAATGTTCGATTTTTTCGCTACCCGATTTACTTTTATTTTATGTATCATAACGGACCTAAGTGGCCTAAGTGTACCCTCGGATGGCCGCGTCAACCTAGACCTAAACCTACGTAGAAAATAAAGCTAGGTATAGCTATTTACCTATAGGTTTCTCAACAATTTTGAACAGTGTACAATGTAGAGCTTTCACCAAATTTTTTTGAATGTAATATGTACTTTGTAAAGTTTGTTTCGGACTTATACCATACTTCTTTAATATTTTTAAGCCACCGTTTGCAACAATTATTTAAAATAAACTCTCAATTTAATAAATTTTTCGAACACCCAGATTCTAGAGATTTGTCTAGCATTTTCTAAAATCCCCGTGTTTTTAAAATGGTACGTAATCCAGTAATTAGAGCTCATAAGACAAATTTTATTAGTTATTGCATTTAATATATACACATAATTTATTGTAATCAGAAATCATTATTTTCGTCAACTTACAGAAAACAAATAAATTTTTAATTAACAAAATTAATGAAAATAACTAAATTTCAACAAATAAAATAATAGATATTTGATTATTTTAAAATTCAAGCTATTTAAATTAGATATTGAAATTTGAATATTTAACTGCTAAAACCAAGAAAAATATTGCTGGAAATAAAACACATAGAATGCCAACCAATGTAAAAATATGTTTAATAACCATTGTAGTTACTTTTATTATTTTTGAAAAAAAAATAAAGTAGATGTCAAGAAAACTAAAAACTAAACGTTTATATTTATACAGACATTTGTAATTGACGAATTCATTTTCTTCAACTACAAAATCTTATTAGCTAGTAACTAAATTTTATAAAAAAGAAGCTGATCAAAACTAAATTTATTAAGATAAAGTCATTATTTGACTTATAACATAAACTTGTTTGGACATTGATTATAGTTTTTAAATTTTATTTTAATGTTGAATAAACATTTTCTTTTCTGAATTAATAACATTGAAGTTTTTTTCTGTCCAAGTAAATAAGCATTTCAAATATAGAGTATGTTGTCCTTATAAAACAAGTTTATTATCTTTGCAAATTTATAAGAGCTGAACATATAACTAGAATCTCATTCATGTACTGATAAATCTGAGGTTCCAATATTGCATGTGGTTGTAATATTTTGAACTCTCTTAGCAAATAAATTAAATTACGAATTTGCAAACGACAGGCAGCTTCACGTACACGTAACGTAGGAATACTAAAATCTTTCACCTTTTTTGAAGTTAGCTCGCTGTTTACAATATTCATTGTGCTGTTATTTGGTGGTGGCATTTGCTGCATATATTGTTTTTTAATAATTTTTTTCCCATCGGATGTTACTTCGTCGAATTCATCAGCTGAATCAGTGTTACTATCTGAGTCCGTCAATTCCGTTTTCATTCCCGTGCCGTCGTCAATGATTTTGCGTGATTTTTTTTGTGCATTTGTTGCTTCATTTTTAACTTGTTTTTTCCTGATAGCTTTACCAGGATCAGCAACTAATGATAAATATTTTGGTATGACATTTTTGAAATTACACGCATTAAAAATGGTCAAGTCGTCATGATTGCCACCAGAAAATGCATCTGAAACATAACTGATGACCCCTGAAGTTGTTATAGACAATATGAATTTGAAATTTTTACAGTACAATTGCTCTAGCGTTTGCGGATACAACGGCGTACGTATATCAGTCTCGACACATTCTATAAGTGATTGAACGAATGATAATTTCGATCTGAATGGTATTGGTAAGTTCTTATGCCTATCATAATATTTTTTAGATTCTGGCCATCTTATTAAAAACTTTAAGCATTTTGATAGTTTTAAAATGGTTTTGGTGAAAATTCTTTGAACTTCTTGTTCGTTATATTCAAAATATTCCCCTAAAACTGCAAAGTCTTCATTTAAACGCAACTTTTTCAATGCAATATATAAATCAATTCTTGAAACTCCTATTGTTGGGCAAACTATATTTTGCAATATGCTTAAGCGATCTCCAGTTACCCCTAAATGTAAATAAGGATTTTTTTCAATTAACTCTATTGTTACACTTTTTATTGTTTTTTTGATTGGAGGTGGGGCTTTTATTAAAATTGTTCGACGTGCCCCGGTTGGACCGCTTGATAAAGTGTTGCCACTAGCAGTTGTGATTGTGTTTGAAGATATTGTTCCATTTGACTGTATTAATGAGGAAAGTTGATGCGGCTCTAACTTAATAGCGGTACCAGGTTTAAATTTGATTCCAGGTTTAATCTGTTGCTTCAAACCAGATGATTGAATTATCAAATTTCCATCAAAAGTTGTAATAGGTGCTCCAGAACTTGCAATGGTCTGTAACGAAAACTGTTTACCCGCGACTAACCGTTGCGTTTTTGGTGTTGATTCTAAAAGATCAATTTTAATATAATTAAATGTTTATACACTTTTTAAAAAACTTTTTACGAAGACTTACCATTTATTGGTGCAAATGTGCTGTATCTCTTCATATTTATTTTGAAAGTTCGTTTTCACAAAGTTTTTTTCTAACCTTAGGTGTCTAAAAATTAAAACAATGAACATTAAAAAACTTAACTATAAAAATTTATTTAAAGTATAACTTATCAAAAACTGTAAGTATTTAACAATCACATCGTATTTCTAGCAAAAGTACATTTATAAATATATACAAAAGGATCAATGTAAGAAAGTACGCGTGTAAAAATAATATAGTCTTCTATGATCATCGTATTAATTTTACACGCGTACGAAATATGATGATATTTTTTGCTTTAAAATTACATAACTTTAACAAAATAGGTGCAAAATAACTTTCGAAAAACAAAAAATTTAATTTTTCTTGACAAGAACAACGAATTTGTCATTTTGATCTAATTTTTATTCTTAATGAAATATTAAAGGTAAACAAAAATACTCACATGTTCTGTATGTATACAGATTATTATTATCTAGATATGTTTTTATTAAATTCCAAATATTGAAACATGAATCAAAACAAAATTAAAGCAAGATATCGTAAATATTTTTTAATATTCCCAAAATAGATAACGAATTTATTAATTAATTAAGCTTGAAATTCCCCTCAACAGTTTCTAAAATCTTTTCAAATTTGAGTGACGTTTAAAATCTCTTTTTGTCAATTAGACGCATCTGTCCAACAACACCAAAAAATTATGTCAACACAGTGTTGTTATATTTATGAAAATTACATACATAGCAGTAATACTTTTCATATTTTATGCTGATAATTTTACCAAGTTTATTTAAATTTATTTTGACATTAAATAAATACATGATATACCCAAATCGAAATCCCCTGAAAAATAATTTTAAACATATTATCTCTCATAATTTTAAACATATTATCCAAGCTTTTATAGTACAAATTTGTGGCATGGAATTTTAACTAAAATGTATATTTTACATGACCAATATAATGCATAAATTTATTCAAATATTGCCAACAGAAAATGGCAACACTTACTTAAAATAGCGCAAACGTATTTACAAACAATTGCTAATAAACACACAAACACGTATTACACTGTACTTGCTTTGTAGGGAATCTGAAGCGAACTAATAAAACAATAATTAAATCTCTTTCAACTTTCATCTATTTAAAATTTTGTTTCATTTAAATTTATTTTAATAAATACATTATGTGTATTTATGTGTATGGCTTTTATTGAAAAGAAACACTTAAAATATTTGCTCTCAAAACTTTAGATATATACATATATATTTACATACATACACACATATGCTTACAAAAGCATTATTTTAATTCCATGTTTTCAATTCAACGAATATAAAAGTTTAAATTAAGCAACACAAAATTATTTTTAGCTATTAAAGTTAATAACATACCAATAATCACTTTTATGTTATAAATTTCTTGATTTCATAAAATATAGTAAGCCTATTCCTTACTCTAATTAAATTTTTAGAAGGCGCTTTTAAAACTAAAAAAAAATGACGTTCTGTCAATATGTCAAAAATATTCTTTTTGAAAGAATTGCCGCACTAAACAATTTATCTTCGAAAAATTAACATTCCTTATGATTTCCAACACATTTGATTTAGAAACAATTGAAAATCCATTTAATTTCCACAATAATGTATGACAGAAAAATATTTAATTTGTTTTGAAATATTTAAATAATTAAATTCTTTAATAATTTAAGCATTAATTGTTATAAAGGAAAATACATAATAAGTAATAACATAAATTGACAAAAATTTTATTTGTTGAATATCAGCAAACCTTTAAAGAAGCAAGAATTTTAATTTAAACATTTTAGTAATAAGCCTAACTAAAATTTTTTGTAAAAAATCAAAAAAATGCCACAGGTATTTTTGATTTTTCTTGAGAATAATAGTTTTTTTTTTAATCAAATCCAGCCTAACTTAACAATTGCAGTAACAATATGCATAATAATACACAATTCAGTAATTATAATTAAATAATGACTACAAAAGTCAAGAAAAATTTAATGTCAAGCAAGAATCCACAAGCATTTGATATCTAATTTTCATCAAATCAAACAAAATTCAGAAACAATATTTTGAAATGTGTAAACCTCGAAGCAGTTATACCGTAAATTAAGCACGTACATATTAGTTTTTATGTAAAGCAGAGTTATTTTTTTTAGAAGGCAATTTAACAAAATTGTTAATAAACAACAATCCCATATTAGTAAAATTAGATTAACCAATTTGTTTCAAAATATGATTTGTGATACAAAATGTCAACAAATTAGTCGGCAAATACAAAGAAACTTGTGTTATCAATTTGCTATTTTTAACAAATAAGTGTTTGTCAAACAACAATATAATTATGAATTTGTGCGTCGCCGTAGGCATAATTTATTTAAAAATTTTCAAAAAATACTTCAATAAATACACATTCAGCAGATTTTTTATTCAGTTTAAAGTTATGATTTTTTCAAAAACAATATTATAAACGACCTACGCAACATGTATGTGTTTACATATGTTTTTATTTCTTTTTTATACAATTTCTATGTACCTATACTTATTTTATGGGTGCGATAATTATATTATTTACGAGATATAAACGTTCTCTTCTTTTCATTTTTGTATTTACAATATTTTGTGAGTATACATTCCACAAAATAAAAATTAATATAAACAAAACGAGCATTGTTGTCATTAACTCTGGGCCGTGTTGTATGTGGAACACTATTATTTTGCTTTAATTTTTTTGCTTTAATATAAACATTATTTTTACCTACATTATTTGTACTTACAAGTTATATACATAGATAGCTATTCTATATTTTCTATGCATTTCGATTTTAAATTTTTAGTTTTAAATTTTCATTCATACGCGATATTTTATATTGGTAAGAATTTTTTTAAATTCTCGGTTTTTCAGTTTCAATAAACAAAATAAAGAAAAAGCTCTTTTTTTGGGATAAAGAGCACAAATAAAACGAAAAAAAGATAATTAAAAGAAAAGAAAAAATAAACCCACCCGCTCTCGTAAAAACTTCAATATTGTATTTTAATGTTATTTATGTCGTTAAGCTGTTTCATGCCGTTATTTTTCTAAAGTTGTTAAAAAAATATTTATGTAATATCAGTTTAAATCGATGAGTTAAGTGGATAAATACGAAAAAAGAATATACAAAATATACAATAAAAACATTTAGGGAGAGTAAAAATAAAAATGTACACACTAATTGTATTAAAGTGAATTTAAGTTTAATAATAAAAAAAAAAATTCAAAGTCAACTGCTTCTGTTTTGATTTTAATTGAAAAGTAAACGGAGGTTGGCTAGCTGGCAATTAAATCTATTAAAACTATCAATAAATTTTTTTTATAATATTTTTATTTTTTTAAAAAATTACGATTAAAAAAATATTTTTGAGCCGGGTGAATTTAATTAAATTTCACATGTTCAATTTAGGATCAATGAAAATATTCTTTATAAAATATTAAATATAACAAAAAATAAAAAAAAAGATAATGAAAAGAAAAATGTTTCAATTAAAATCGAAAAGATCGTTAAGCTAATAATATAGTCGTAGCAATGAGTGTAATATTAATCGCATACAATTACGTCAGGTGATTTCTAAAGGCATTTTTCACGTTTATTTTGTATACATTTTAAACCTTATAAAAGGTAATTTTGTGCTTTTTATTTTTCTAAAAGTTTAATTAATATTTTTTTTTATATAATTTGAGTATCTACTACCTACCAGTAATATATGTAAATATTTATAAAAAAAAATAAAGCTGTTCAAAAAAAAAAATGAAAATTTTTTGTATCTCATTCTGTTTTTTTGTTTACGTTTCAATAAAAATGTTAAAAATTATATAGAAAACTGATTAAGGAAAAAAACAAATTGTAAGCAATATTTTTTATTTGATTGTTTTGTAATTTTTGTTTTTTCTTATTAATAAAATTGTTCTTGTAATAATTATTGCGATTGTAATGTGAATTCATACATAATGTTCATTTTTATATACACAATCTAACTTCAAAATTAAAGTAATTTACTGTATTAAAACGCAATTCAGCTTATAAATTATATTTGCTGAATTGTATGTATTGATACAGTACAACGTCCCGGGATTTCAGAATTGCAGCAATACTAAATATTGCTACACGCATTTTAACAATCATATCTAATAAGCTGAATTGTGTATTAATATCGAATTTCTGCAACTTTGAAGTCAAGGGTAAATTTTGCAATTTTGAATTTGTAAAGCATATTAATGTCATTAGTTATGTGATATTCACAAATATAATAATTAAAAACCTTCAATTTTTAATTTTATATTTACGATATTATTACGATAATTTTGATTTTATTATAATAAAAAGTGCATTAAAAAAATATGCAAAACGTGAGAAATTAAAAAATTTAAAATACAATTGAAAGTGAAATGAATATTTATTATTAATCTATAGTCTATTTTATTTTATTTATTTTTTATTAAATTTAACTGAGAGTATGTAACATCAATACTTATGTATGGAAGTTTGCGTTCAAAAAATGTTTTGTATATTAATTGTGTATTTAAAGGTCATTAAATTTATTTAACAGTGCTAAAACAAAAATAAAAAAGTAATTGCATTGATTTTTTATTTTTCATTTATTTTGATCACGAAATTTTAAAAAAATTAATTTATTTTTTGTTGCTTTTTTTTTTCTTGTATTAGTCATAAAAGGTGACAACTAACTGACTATATTAATAAACTAAAAGTATTTAATAATATGTTCAAAAATTCTTTAAACAAAATATTATGTAATTTAATTATTTTTAAAAATTGAAGTAAGTAGTAAGTATAAAGTTTGAAATTTTCTCTATTTTACTTTTTTATTTTAACAATTATTATAATTGTTATACATGTTAATTTTTTATGTGGTAGATAATTTTTGTTAAAAATTAAAAATATTTCCACCAATTTTTTAATTATTGCATTAGTAATTTGGCAATCTTGGTATTTCTTTAATACATACCGTTACTTTAGCATAATATAATGCTTTGTCATCTATACATAAGTTAATACTCGTATACTATGTATGACTTTTTTAGGACATTTTTAGGACATTTATTTATCGAAGTTTTTTCGAATCAAATCAAAAGTTAGAAATTAGTATGTAAGTGCGAGGTTGTTCAAGAATCAAAATATAAGAATTATTCTCTGTTAATAAAATACATATGAAGAATTCTAGAAAAGAAACACGGGAAACACGAAAGAAACGTAAAACTCTATAACTATTGATATTTGAGGGAAAGTACATTAAATATGAAAGTCATTTTGCAGAAGTTTTTCAGAAAAGCTTTTTCCTTTTTAATTTCTATAATATATTCTTAATATTATTATAGTTTGATGGGTGGATGTTTGGATGATGATCTCACATGAGATATACATGTGACTCAAGTGATACAAATCATACAGTGATTACGATACAGTCTTAAATAAGGTATATAAAAAGCTATTAGCACCCAGCTTTTCATTTTATCACATTATGTGAAAATGTCATAGATTTTTAAAATCATATGTTCATAATTTTTTCCTTTTATACGACTATATTGATTATACAACCTCTACCTTATGAAAAATTTTAAACTATAAAATCATTATTTCTTTAAAGCTTGTGACATATACATACAGAAGCACATATACATTGTGTAATGTAATACATAAATTTTCCTCGAGGGAAAAACAATAATAAAATTTTCCTTAAGAATATAAAAAAAAATACTTACATATGTAGCTTTGTATATTAAAGTAAATAATGTATTTTCCCTATAATTTGTTTAGTTTAAAACAAATTTTTACTACAATATAAAAAAAGTATCCACTTCTAATATAATACAATTAAATAAAGACTATATGAACATAAAGTATAAAGTACAAAGTTTACAAATTTTCCAACAATACCACACAAAAAACTCAATTTTTTTAATATAAATTTTGTATTATGTATTTATTTAAAATCGAGTTCAATAAACAGAAGCAGAAAAGAAAAACATATTAAATATATACGTTTATCATGTAATTTATGTACTCTCATATATGGAGGTACCTACAATATACTTTAGTAATTTGGAATAGATTTTACTTTGTCTATACACATTCTACAATTACAATACTACAATTTTTTTTTAAATATACTTAGTTATTATACCCAAGTATAGTCTATGATTTCTTAAATAAATTTAAAATCAATGAATTTTGAAAATAATTTTGAAAAAAAATAAATAATTGATTTGATATATAGAAAGAAGATTATTATAGAAAAATAGGTGGGAATTTCAAAATTCAATTTATAAAAATTATAAAATTTGTGTAAAAGACAATGGTCAAAAACCTTAATCAATAGAAACCTTATGATTATTTATTCAAAAATGTAAAACTGAAAAATTTTACATACTTAATTACAAAATTCTATAATTTTCCATAAGCTTATACCATAGGGTTGCCGCCTGATTTTTTTAAGGAGTTTAAAGGAGTTTTTTTTTTTCAATTAAAAACGAAGTATTTTGAAACAAAAATTAATACGAGCTCTTGAAACCAAACAAAACGTCCACTTACAGAATATAAATAACAAAAATTTGAAAATTTTACACAATTTACGGTATCACTAATATGGATTAGATATAGAAATTTTCTAAAATAAGTTTTCAACAAATCTTGATTAGTTAAATTGACACTTACTTAAAAGGCTTCGTATCTTATTTTTTACTTTTAATCAAAGAACTTTCGACATTCTTTCCTATATACCTTTGAATTATACTTTTTTAATATGAAATTATGCATTAGATTCGCCTGAAATAAAAATCATTTGAGATATCGTTTCAGATTTTGTAGTGGTTACGAGTAATACACAAAAAATTTTCTTTAGATTTAACGTCTTAAAGCTTATACACTTAATTCTATAGCATGAATTTTAACAATTTTATACTTTTTATGTTCAAAAATTATATGTATTTAATAATTAGTAGTAAGTACTGTTATACACACAATGATTATGTCTATTTCAAAATAAAATATATAGTTTTCAATTTTCCAATAATAATTTTGTTAATTTTTCAAAGACCTAAGTAAAAGTTCATAAAATTTCATATTGAACAATGAAAATAATTTATAATAGATCATTCTGAACCTCAAAAATAATTTTTAAAAATTTCATGTCTTAATTATACTTTATTTTTTTAATTAATACGTAACATAAAACAAGATGATTCTAGCTTAGATAGCTATGCTATACTCCCATATAGGAAAAGTTTTAAATTTTGAAACAAAGGCAATTATTGTTCGTTTCAACACTATACAAGTATAAAATTTCCTTGTTCTTTAGTTACACGTTATATGCAATTAAATTTCAGAATCACCCTTTGTCATCTATGATAATTTAAAATAATTAAAAAACAACAAAACCATTACGTTTTCCGATGATCAGTTGAATTTTAATTAAGTATTTTTTTTAAATTTTATATATAAACAGTCTAATATATAATATGCATATATATAAATATTATTATAAATCTATATTTTGTATGATAAATATATTAGACAAATGGTCATCTTACATCAGATTTATCTTAAGTTAACTCTTGAGCAAAAATGGTTTCTTAAAATTATGGTGGATAAATTTCAAAAATTTCTAATGCAAGACACTATTCTATTCTCGTTATTTTATAAAAAACTATGAAATAATTTTTTAAAAATAATATCATTAGCAGCTTTCTACAACGTATTATATCCCTAAAATCAACCGACACAACAAATTTCGAATGTCGAGCTTTGGGCGAAAATGCACATTTCTCCAAGCTAGGAAAGCGTAATTATACTTTTATCAAAATGTCAGTCTGTCGATTTGTCCGTGTACTCTCGCATTTCCATTCCGGTTGAATTGATTTTCATTAAATTTAAATTTACTTTCGTTATCAGTTCTCGGGCGATATCATTTACAAAACGGCCAAATTTTATATTTTTATCATAATCTTGTGAAACATATTTATACATATGTACTTTGCGATCGGTTATGTACTGACCACATCAAATTATTTTTTTATTTATTTAATTTTCAATTTATTTTAAATTAAAAAATAAATCTTTTTTTATTTGCATACAATAAAGTTTTTTTTTCTCGTTTAATAACAACAAGTGATCTTCTATTATTTATATGCATAAATAATCGATTATACGCGTATTATCGATATCGAGTTTTCATAATAAATAAATATGAAACACTTTAATCAATGAAAGATACAATATACTTACATATACATAAATTAACAATAATGAAAATGAATGCAAAGCTTTTTAAAATTAAGTGTTTGTATAATAAACACAATTTGGGCATAAAATTTTAAAAAATATAATAAAAAACAAAATTTGTGGTTAAAGAATATATACTCGTATATGCGGTATATATAAGAATATTGTACGTATATAAACTTTGTATTTTCAATAGTATTTTATTAGTCACGTTTATTTAATAACTTTTGTATTCAATATTATTTTAAATAAAATTTGTTAATATTAACAATTACTATTTACTTATGTATATGTGTATTGACTGCTTATTGTTATTCTAATGATGAATATATATGTGCCAAAATAATTACTTTATAAATCGTCAATCTTTATTGTGTACTTAA